CCCCCCCCCGCCCGACCTGTAAACGTTGTGTTTGTTCAAGGGCCGGTTGTTGTTGTTGTTGTTCAAGTCATTTCGGAGGCAGCGAATGGAGAAAAGATGCTGCGGGTGACACGAGCTGTGTGGGTGTGTTGCCAAGGGTAAGAAAGGTAGTGAAAGTGGAATTTATAGGGTTTTGTCTCACGGGTTATATGTAGTAATTATTTCCCAAGCCCAAACTCCACTGGTTTAGCCCTCGGATCACTCCCTTGGTACTCCTTGGTTGTTCCCCCTGTTTACGCTGGGTAAGTACCAGCGGCCCTCGTAAGTACCCACTGGGCTGTTCCCCTATGGTTACCATACTACTCCCTGGTATGGATTTCTCTCCTGATTATTCCCGGGGTTGCATGCCCTTTGGTTACTCCCCGGGTATCCGCCCGAGCTGTGGTTGCTCCCCGAGTGGTGGTCACACTCCCCTTCCTGGTTACGCCCCTGGTTGCGCCCTGGCACAGCCACCAGCCCCCGAGCGAGCGCGCGGCCCCGGCCGGGTAAAGCAGGCGGAGCAGGCGCCACGATCAATAAAGGAGGCCTGGGGGCCGAGCCCGTCCGCCCTCCCTCCCTCGGTCTGTGTGTCTGTCTGTTTCCGAAATGAAATGGTTGTGGCGCTGTGTGGTCGTGGTTCCTGTTGGTGTTTGTGTCCCAGGATCCGCCCCTCGCCCGCTCCGCTCCTTTCCACCCAAGCATTGCGTTACGAAAATGTCGCACAACCACTTCGTAGACGGGTTCAAATAAGTTTGTAATTTTCCTGTACCGGAGTGCGTGGGGGTTCGCCTGACGTCGTTAACCACGGCGCCGTACTACGGTCCCGATCGGGTAGGCAATAGGCAAACCGCTCGCACGGCGATACAGTAGAACTTAAAAAAAAGTGCGCGGGGTTAATCAGCCACTTGCCGTGCGATTCAGGAGATCGTTCTAGAGTGCCTCTCCTATACCTGCCTATGAGTGCAACAAGGACGGAGCTATACAGGAGGCATAGATAGGACAGCCCCTCTTGAACGATCTCCTGAATCGCACGGCTTGTATGAGTTGAGATCCGGCTTCAAAAGAGCCCAGCTTCCATCAATATCCGGTTCTCTGGTACAGGGTACGGGTACAGGAGGCTTGGGACGCTCCGCGTCCGCGATCGAAAAATGTAGGAGCAGGAGGGGGCGATGCACCGTGGGTTGCCTACATGCGAGGTGTGTGTGGACGAGTTGCCTTCCAGGCGACTCACTAGAGACGACAGGGGTCATCGCCCCTCCCCAATCCGCCCTTGGCGCCTTGTAGTACTATACGATTTCGACACTTCCCCGTGAGTGGTAACAGTTCATAAACCGAATTTGTGTTTGCCGATTACAATACTCTATCCAATTGTAGTTTATGTAAGTACCTACTGTACGCAGACCTATATTACATACACGGCTCGAGGCATGCCAGCCCGGACAGCGAGGTGCGGTGCGC